CAGAAAATACCACCCTAATTCAGAACTCTTCTCTTTTGTCTGATGTCAGGAGGACTTGGTTTAAGAAATAAGGACTCATTTCTCTGTCTGGGGTGTTGGATAGTCATTGAAAAGGATGACCACTGACTGGCCTGATCCATTGAAACATTCAGGACACGTTTCTGCTCTTAAAGACTGCAAGCTCCTTCCAGGAAAGTCCAGAAAAGGACTCACATATTCTCTCTACCACTTGCATGTCATTTTTTTATTAAGCTGAGTTTAAACTTTGAGGCAGATTTAGCAAGTGTGGATGGGTTTTTTTGAACCAACCATGAAAAACTTTGATGTATGAACTGTTTTTCTGATTGTGGGAGCAAGGCACAGTGTTTCCACAGCCAAGTTTTTAGATGAAATGGGATTGCCTGGCCTTTGAAGGAAGATGGGATTCCTGAACATGCTCAATCATCCGTCTTTGATACTCAAACATCCCTAGAAACTGATGGATGTGGCTTTCTGAATTTCCCAATAGCCCAATACAAAGGGAATAGAAGAGGAAAAGAAAGTGCCCACACCTGGTACTGAAATACAGTCTAGTGTTGGCCTTAAATGTGTTTATCTGAGATCCTTCATGCTCTCAACATCCCCTGGTCCCTTTTGGGATGGGAAATGGATTGTGCTGGAAACATCAAGTGGACCAAAGCCCCACCTGGTAGGAAAAAAATCTAGAGAACTCTGGGAAGTCAGGAGCTGGATTTTGATGATCTTCCTGGATCAGTTCAGGATATTCTGTGATTCTAAATCCCGAAAAAGTGGCTTAGGGAAGTGTGAGAAGGACGATCCACAGCTCTTTGTGGAGGGGCATGTCAGGCACGGAGCTGAGTGGAAGAGGAACCAATTTCAGGGCAGCATCCCCAGAAATAGCCCAGAAACCCAAAAATTTATCACTTGTTAGGTGGGTGTGGTGACACAGGGCTGTGAGTGTGACTGGGAACGCTGAGCTTGACCAGCACAGCCAAGCCCCATCTCTGAGCCCACGTTTTGCCAAGAACATGAAGGGTTTTTGCCCAGGTTTTTCCTCTCTGGTTCTCCACCTCATCTGGTGTCTCTGTGCAGACTCCCCGCTCTGCTGAGTAGCTCCTAATCCCCGGAAAAATTTATCAAGCACACACACACAAAAAAATAGGGAATAAAGTAAAACCGGCTGTGGGTCCGATCTCAAGTGAGGGAACCGCCACAATTCCATATGTCCTGTGTGTGGGATGTCCCAAGGACAATGGTCCTTCATTAACTGCCGCTTTCAGGTTGGCGTAAGTGCCGGTGCTCCCAAGGAAACAACAAAGTGCTCTTTGATGTTGGCGTGAAAGGGAGGGAAGTGGTTTCCCTGCCGCCGATTCCATGGATGTGAGTTCCTAATGAGCTGATGGAGGGCTGGGGGAGATGGGAACGGGGAGCCTTGACAGGACTGCACTAAACCCACACGAGCCACCGTCACGCTCAGGGATGGTTTGGGCAAAGCATCCCGTGTTTCTGTTGGAAAAGCTGCCAAAGCAGCCGCGCCGGTGCCGAAATGCCAATCCGGAGTCGGTGTCACTCATCTGGGTGACAACCTGCAGGAGGCTTTGCTTGGTGACCCCGTGCTCTCTGCAGATTTATCCCCACCAAAGCTGACTCCTTCCTCTTTAGCTTGCACTGATCAAAGAACCTCTCTGCCTGTTCACTTCTGCCCTGGGGAGTTTTTTTATTTCAGTTAAAAATATATATATTTTAGAGAAATGTATGTATTTTCAAGGGGGAAAGGTATATCTTAATATACATATTATACTATAATGCTATATAATATACATAGATTAATATACAAATAAAATAAGTGTAAAGTTATGTATATATTAATATATAATATGTGGATATAATAATATATAATACTGATGTATATAAAAATATATTGATATATGTATATAATAATATAGGCATATATTAATATATTAATGTGTATATATTAATATGCAACACATATACATTAATATACAATACATATATATTAATATATATAGTATACTTATATACATATATATTCTATATAATATAGTTTATATACACACTATGTAGAATTGTAGGATTGTAGAGTCCTTAAGGCTGGAAAAGACCTCTAAGATCATACTATAAATATTTATTGGAATCATTATATGTGTAGTAATTATTGTATATTAATATATAATTCTTCTGCGTGTATACACATATTGATATATGCATATATTAATATACAATACTAGGTGTATTTATTTATATATGTATATATTAATATATAATATTTATATATATTAATATACATGTATATATACTTAAATACATATATATTCTATATAATATAGTTTATATACACACAATGTAGAATTGTAGGTTCATAGAATCCTTAAGGCTGGAAAAAACCTTTAAGATCATACTATATGTATTTATTGGAATTATTATATATCTAGTTCTTGAAAGTATTGTATGTTTATATAGACTTTGACTGCTTCAGCTGCAGAAAGCTTTTTTATATTTATCTGTGAATAACTGTTCTGGGAGTGAATTGGTCATTCTGACAGGCTTAGTGTTCCTGTGGTTCCTTGAACACATGAAATCAGGGAATCAGAATATCCTGAGTTGGAAGGGATCCCCAAAGACCACCCAGCCCAACTCCTGGCCCTGCACAGACACCCCAAAATCCCCCCCTGTGCCCCAGAGGATCATCCCAACCCTCCTGCAGCTCTGGCAGCCTTGGGGCTGTGCCCACTGCCCTGGGGAGCCTGGGCAGTGCCAACCACCCTCTGGGGGAAGAACCTTTCCCTGAGATCCACCCTGAGCCTGCCCTGACACAGCTCCAGCCATTCCCTGGGGGCTGTCCCTGTCACAGAGAGCAGAGGTTGGAGCTGCCCCTCCTGAGGGAGCTGCAGACCCCCAGGTCAGACTTCAGTCTAAATGTATTTATTCTCCTGTTTTATCGCACCCTGAGGAAGATCTTTATTTACACAAGCATGGACTTGAGTCATCAGTGATAGTCAGGTTCGAGCTTTCACTGCAATGACAACTGACTTGGGTATTTTTAGAGAGAACAGGACTTTTTTGGGAGCGCTGAGTTCTTAAAGGAGAAGCTTGATGTGGAGAAACTTTTACCTTACTCTTCCCTTCAGCTGTGCCTGCCCAGGACACGCACTGGGAGAGGGTGTGGGGAAAGCCAGGTCTCCAAATGAAGCTGTTTCCCTGTTGGCATCCCTGGGAGATGTTCATCTGAAGTGACATGGAGCGATGCCAGTGCCTGTGATGGGGATTCATTGTCGCACCTGGATGTGTCTGTCTGGTCTTTAAACTCATTTCAACCTCTGAGGAATCGCTCCTCTCCAAGATTTATCACATCTCTGATACCACAGGGAGACCTTCTGGTGAAAGTTGGGGGTTGGAACAAGATGGTCCTGAAGGTCCCTTCCAACCCAAACCATTCTGGGATTCCCTGGAGACTCTCAATTTTTATTTTGACTTCTAAAGATGAGTTGCAAGGGGAGGGTTTTTTTTCTGTTTTCTCTTTTTATTTCTTCCTCTGCACCTCTGACTATTTTCCTCCAGCTTCTATTGTTGGATAAAAACCAGCAGGGCTGTGCCAACCAGCAGAAACAAGTGTCCACATCTTTTTTTTTTCCTTTTATATCTTATGGATAAAAGGACCCATCATAATGGATTTAAGCTGAAAGAGGACGGATTTAGATTGGGTTTTTCACAAGGGCCTGGAGTATCAGGACAAAGGGGAATGGATTCCCACTGCCAGAGGGCAGGGAGAGATGGGATACTGGGAAGGAATTGCTGGCTGGGAGGGTGGGCAGGCCCTGGAAAGAATTTCCCAGAGAAGCTGTGGCTGCCCCTGGATCCCTGGAAGTGTCCAAGGCCAGGTTGGAGCACCCTGGGCTGGTGGAAGGTGTCCCTGCCCGTGGCAGGGGGTTGGAAATGATCTTTAAAGTCCCTCCCAAACCCCAAACCCATTCTGTGTTTCTCTGATTCTATGACGAGGTTTGCATGAAAGATAACACAATTTACAACCTTTAATCCATAAAGGATTCAGTGCAGGACCAGGATCCCAGACCACTGTTGTTTTTCTTGGCAGAGTCGCCTGAAGGAAGCAGTGCAGCTGTTGGAGGATTACAAACATGGGACTCTGCCCCCAGGAGTCACCAACAAAGAGGTAAGAGGGATAAACCTTTATTATTATTATTATTATTATTATTATTATTATTATTATTATTATTATTATTATTATTATTATTAATCCTTCTGTTACAGTGGGCAGGATGAGGTGGGCTTTTAGGCTGTGTCTGTGGTCAAATGGTGTATTTTTGGTGTTTCTGCTGGTGAAATCCTGTGCTGGCTTCTCTTGCAAACTTGTACAATTAAAACCAAACCCACATCATTTTTTTTTTTCTTTAGCTGAATGAAACCTTCTTGTCAGTCCTGTGGGTTCTTGTAGCAGCAGCTGTGAGGCATCACCCCCCTTCTCCTACAGTGCTGGTTATAATAACTGTCATTTCTCCACAGAAATAAATGCATAAAACCTACCCAAAACCCTCTGGATGTCCTCGTGTTGCAGGTTGTACCATCAGTAGTGGTGCTTCTGGCTGGGTGATGTTCCTGCTGTTGGGGTGGAAGCTGCAGGAGGTTGTGGGACTGTCCCTCCACCCTTGATGGGAAGGTCTTAGCAGGGTTTTTGAGGCAGTTGCTGAGAAAAGGGTTGTTTTTGGTAGAATTTTGGGACAGAGGGATGAGCTGGGTGGTCTCTCCAAGAGACCATCAGTCCTGTTTTTTTGGCTTTTGGCTGCTATTTATCTACACTTGGAACTTGTGGAAGCAGAGATTTTGGAGGGCTTAAGCTGCTTTTTGAGCCTTTTACCTCCAAACCTGTATCATGAAACAAAAATCATGAATTTTCTGACTATTCCCTCGAACTCTTTCCCTTCCCTGTCCTCATGTGGCCACCTGACCACGACACAGACCCAGGGGCTTTTTTGTGGTCCATGTTTGTGCAACTAGCACAAAATATTTAGTTTCTACTTAATTTAATGTCATGAAAAGAACAGGATGAATGGATTGGCAGACTTGCTCGAGGGGACATAAAAGCAAGGGGTGCCAAAGGACCAGGGAACCTCCTCCCCCCCCAAAAAAAAAGCAGTGGTGGAAATGGTGAACTCTTCTTCCTGTAGGTCAAATAACTTCTTTTACATTTTTATTTCCTGTTCCCAAGTGGTAATTTCTCCTCGTGAAGGACAAGCACAGCAGGTAAATGAAGGAAATTCAAATTGGTGTTGTCTTTAAAAAGTGGCAAGAGCTGTGTTGGGAAAGGGGCACAGCTTCCACAGGAAAGAAATGGGAAATATCCCCTCCCTGCACGCCACAAGGCACTGCCCTCCTGGTGTTTTGGTGTCACTGCATTCCTTCAGCCATAATCTGATGGTGGGGAAAGAGAACCCGGGGTTGGGGAAGGAGAAAAGCAGGGAGTGATGCAGCAGCAGATGACTCAGTTCCCATCTGCCTCCAGGCAGATGACACCCAAGTCATCCCTGTGCAAACCACGCAGACTTTTGACCTACATTTTGTACGGTGACAAAGCCAGGCTATTCCCAGAGTTCATTCAGAACTGCAGAGGGAGAGAGCAAGGAAAAGCATCGTGGGGTTTGTTTGCCTCAGTCATGACATCACTGGCAGGAGGGGAAACCTGTGCGAGCTGGAGGGGGCTCTGAGTGGGAAACAAAGGTGTGGGGCAGAGGAGGAGAGAGGAAATGATGGCAGAAATGCCTTCTCCAGAGAAGTGGCTGCACAGCAGAGTAAAGAATAACAGGGTTTGTAGTAAAATCTCGGCTCGGTTTTAAGCTGAAGAGGGTAGATTTAAATGGGATAGTGGGAAGAAATTCTTCCCTGTGAGAGTGGTGAGGCCCTGGCACAGGTTGGGAAGAGAAGCTGTGGCTGCCCCTGGATCCCTGGAAGTGTCCAAGGGCAGGTGGGAGCACCCTGGGCTGGTGGAAGGTGTCCCTGCCCATGGCAGGGGGTGGAACAAGACGAGCTGTGAAATTCCCTTCTACAACAAACCTGTCCGTGATTCTGTGAGTAGATCCCCTCAAGGCTGAGTTTTTGTCCAGGGTAAAAAAACACTCTAAAAAAGGTGAAGTTGGAAGGGACCTGGAAGCAGGTGACAATCAGAGCCTGACCCCCCCCAGCTCCCCCCTCCTGTCAGGGATTGCAGAGCCAGAAGGTCCCCCCTGAGCCTCCTTTTCTCCAGGCTGAGCCCCCCCAGCTCCCTCAGCCCCTCCTGCTGCTCCAGCCCCTTCCCAGCTCCGTTCCCTTCCCTGCACACGCTCCAACCCTTTAGTATCTCTCTTATTGTGTGGGACCCAAAACTGTCCCCAGTATTGGAGGTGTGGAGAAGTCTTCCTCCAGCCCAGCTTACAGGAGCCTGCCTAATGAAGATGGATAAAATCATCAAATGCTGTTGGCACCCGTGTGTTCCACCTGGGTGAAGGTGAAATTTGAACCAAAAGACAACTGGAGAATGTGGTTTTGCTTTCCTCGGGCTAAGTTTTACCCCATTTATGCCTTTTCTCTGCACCACTGCCTGCAGGGTGGGCTCTGGCTACAGGGCATTAACAATGTGCAGTTGTCCTGGTCCTGATTTGGGAAAGGGATGGGATGCAGCTCTGGGGAGGTGCCCACTTTGTGGCTCACCTGCATGGGCTGATGTTGGAATAAAGGACTGAGCCATCTGATGTTTTATGTAGCTGATAACTGAGTGTCACACACTCCTCTGATGCTCTGAGAGGTTGCCACAGGCAGGCAGGAGAGAGCAGATGAGTGGCAATTTGATTTTTGACTGATTTTGGGGTTTTTTTCCCACCCTCTTTGACTGTGATCAGAGCTAATCCCTTTGTGTTCACCGTGGGCAAGAAGTGTGAGTCGGAGCAGTGACCTGGCTCATCTCATGTTGCCTCTGAGAGAGGACAAATTGCTGTCCTTACTCATCAAAAAGGCTGAGCAGAACTTCAGTGATGCTCAAGAGAGCAGAACTCGGCTTTATCTTCTTAGTTTAAGAGCTGATTTGGGTTTAGCTGCTCAAAAACCTCCCCGAGAAATGCATGGCTTGGGAACAGCACGTGCCGAGAAGAGATGCCTGAATGGTCTTGCGTTTCATAATCAGAGTGAAAAACCATGACCACCAAAAAACCAAGGCTTCAAAAATAGCAGCCTGGGCAGAGTTTTAAAGCATTAGCTCTCTGAGAACTCGATGCTCCCTCCCCCCACCCCCCCAAATATCATCTTTGAGAGATCAAGGAGACGGGTTGTTTTGACAGAGCGTTTCACCAGCCTCCCGACGGATCCACTCCGGCGGAGCGGCGCGCTTGGCAGCGCTCGAATTACTCCTCTTTTTTTTTTTTTTTTTCCTCCCCTCATTCAGAAACGGGGAAGGATGGCAGGCAGCAAGCTCAGCACGGGCTCTATCGCTCCGCTGAAGTGGCTTCACCACGTGAAAAATGGAAAGCAGGAGAGCCTAAAGCTATGTCGCGTCAAGTATCTCCTCCGCGCGCGTCTCCTTGACAGGGCTCTCGTGGAACGAGGCTCTCTCTCTCCTGCGCTCCCCAGGCAGATTTCTCAAAATGAAGCTGAAGTGGAACAGTTAGGGGCTATCTTAAGGAAAAAAAAGAAAAAAAAAACCCAACAAGCCAACTCTGAAGAGACGTGATCATTAAAGAAAAAAAAGCTCCGAAGAGGCGTAATTGTACTTTTACCAGTTCCCCATGAGCGGTTTCCAGAATCTCTCTGAGATGGTTCCCGGACACCGACGCTTCCAACACCTACAGCTCTGCCCCTTTTCAGGTCTCTCACACTCACCCAATAATTCTTGGTTTTGCTCTGGGAGCGAGTTTGCCGCTCAAGAAAACGACCATTAACTCAAGGTGGTAAAATCCCATTTCTTGGGCGTCATTAGCAAAAATGGAGAATTGATCCCTTGGCTGTCGATAGCTGCTGGACTGCTGAGAGCTCCTTATTGAGGGTTTATCCCTACATTAGAGAGATGTTTTAAAAACATGATTTTGTTCACTGCTGTATCAAATTATTTAGTCAGCAAAACAAGAGAAGTAGCTGCTCGATCAGGATTTATTCAGAGCAAGAAAAGGCTCTCCAGTCTCCACTTCTTCAGCTCAGCTTATTTTTTTTTTATTTAAATATTTAAGAACCAGACTTGATTTTTTTGTTAAATACAAAGCTGAGTGGTTCAAATTCCACTTATTAAAACCCCACCAACACAAAATATTCAGTGTAGGGGAAATACCCCACACTGTCATTGATCCCCCTCTCTTACAGGTTCATGAATTGATTTTTTTTTTTCTCAGAATGGAAAGATATTCTTGGTAATGCAACTCTTTGCGGTGTTTTTTTCTGTTCTCCTTGGTCGTGTGGGTTAAATATTTTTAAAGGATTAGAGAAGAGCCTGGAAGAGAAA